CGATAATAACGTGCTGCGATGACAAGTGCCATTTGATTTCATTATCATATAAATCGTTCTTCGTATGTTGTACAGTGTGTAATCTTCGTACTGTATTCAAGGTAATGGTAACGTGCTCGTTTTCTTATGTTTTATTTGTGTGTGGGGATAATTCTACCATAGAGTTTAAAGTCGAGACACTTCAAAAGATGGGAGCTTTCATCTTTATTGTTAACGGGGTATTGAGACTTCGATCTAGATTATAATTTATCTTAAAAAAAAAGAACAAGAATAATGAGGATTCAACCTGAAATTATGTTTTTATAGGTTGAGCTTCTTTTCTTTCTTTCTTTTTTCAATGGACGTCTGAACTTTATAGCACGTAGTTCCAAAATCTAGAGCTTTTCAATAGAGGAAAGTGAAATATGAAATTCCAAATGGTGAGAACAACTTCCTTAAATCTGTGCAGGTTTGTCATTTGTAGAACTCGGGTATCAAAGTGAGGCCTAAAGAAGACAGCAATTTTCACGGTTTCTTTGTTTGCATCGTGGCCCAAACCACAAATGGCCCAAATAAATTTGCCTACCTATATACCCTTAATCCTCCGTACCGTTACCCTAGTTTTGTAATTTGTAGTCATCAAATTAAAGACTTGCGAGTCAAAACGGGCACTCCGCCTCGTAAAAAACGTTTCATGATATATATACCTCCTTTTTTTCATAAGCACCCCTTCTTTTAAAAAAAAATAATTAAATTTTTAAATATTTTTAATTTTTATTTTCAATTTTTTAATTTTACATCCATAATATCTAATCTAGTACTTTTTTTTTCACATATTTTTCTCCTTTTTATTTTTTATTTTTATATGCACTCCTTTATCTTTCATTCATCTACTTATTTTGGTAGCATGTAAAAATTAAAAGAGAAAAAAAAGTGTGTAAAAAAGAAAAAGAGAGTAGAAAATTGAAAGTTTGAGGTACACAATTAATTTTTTTTAAAAATATAATATTTTATAATTTAAAAAATAAAAAAAAATAAAGGAGATGTATATATCATGAATATAAAAAACGGGGTTGGGTCATGGGTGGGCTGGTTTGCATGATAACATGGGCCAAAATTTTGGCCAGTCCTAGTTAGGGGTGAGCTAACTCGCCAAAACTGGTTTTTATTTTATTTTTTATTTACTATTAACTCGAATTGATAAATTAAATATTTTTACATCATTCAACTTTTTAAAAGACTAATAGCATAAATTTGTCTTTCAATCTTAAGACTCAACACAAAAATATTAAATTACAAATAATTTTTTAACAATACAAAATTATAATACTTCTTAAGAAATTAAATATAAATACTAATAGTTTTTTAATAATAAAACTATAATACAACATTTTTTCACAAAGTAAATATAAATATAAATAGAATGTCTTGAAATAAGTTATAAAATAAATTCAAAATAATATTTAAAAAATAAAATAAGTTGGTAAGCCAATCTACCTCAATTTGACATTTAGCATAGTGGATTGGCAGATTAGGTGGGGTAGACCAAGTGGGATAAGAAACTATAATGTCTACTCTAGTTTGATATTTTTTGCAGGTTGACGATCAATCCTTTGGACTAAAGTCCCCTTTGTCAACCCTATTTGTTTGTTTCCTTCCACAATTATGGTACATTTAGTTTAAGGTGAAAGAACAAAGAGAAAAACTTAAAAGTATAAATTTAGATTATTGTTTAAATTGTCTGGTAGAAGAAATAAAATTAAATGAATGAAAAATTATTATTTTCCTTGGTGAGACATATAATTTAGTCCCTACACATGTCGTGAATCATTGATTAAATCATTGTATGTAAAACTTTATTAAATTGGACCCTATACGTGTAAATATTGCAGGTTTAGGCCTTGAAGCTATTAGTTCCCTTACATATTTCTTAATTTGGTCTCTATAAATCAACATGGTTTTAATTTAATCATTTACGTGAAAAGGGTCAAATTAAAAAAAACACTAATATGTAGGGATCAAATTAACAATATTCACATGTAAAAAGATTAAATTAATGATGTGTAATGGAGTTAACGATTTTAAGGACCAAGTCGTTAACGTTTAACAAGTATAACAATTGATTTAATAAGTTATTATGTATGGAAATGAAATTAAAAACACGTGACATGTGTAAGGATTAAATTATATGCTTAATCTTTTTAATTTTCAATTGTATAGAAAATTAAATAAAAGAAGAAAACAAAAATGCGCTTATAAAAGGATATAAATATTCTAAACAAATAATAAAATGATAACATGAACAAAGTCATTTTAATCATTCTACAAAAGAAATGTTTTGTATTTTAAATATATGTATTTGAGTCTTTATATTTGATGGGAACAAATACTCTCTTCACATGTAAGGGTGAGAGAATAAACAAAAATTAAACACAATACAAAAATATGAACATATCATACAAATTTATTTAACATAATTTGACTTTTATACCTACATCATTGAAATGCTCAATTTTGCAAATTGAATGTATTACAATTTTCATTTATGAAATTTGATAAACTTTCATTACAAGTTTTATGGCAAAACTTGAAAAATTCTTATCATAAGTTTTATAACAAAACTTAATAAACCCTCCCTTTATATGACATTTTTCTTTCATTTAGGGCTGAATCGTTAAAAATAATTTGTATACATTAATTTGATATAACGAAATAAAATATTAAATAGTTTTCAAAGTTTTTAAAAAATTACAGACTTGTTTTATTCTTGAAAAACATTTTATTTAACAATTGATCGTTAAAATTTGATGTTGAATATAAATTATTGAGTAAAATAAATATAAGTAAATTAACTTTTGGGGTAATTAAATTTCTCTCTACACACACACACGCACACGCACACGCACACACACACACACGCACACACACACACGCACACGCACACACGCA